GTGTCAAATATAATATTCTCTTTGAAGAAATTGCCTTGATAACGATACTCATAGTAGAAGATAAGCTTATCTTGCAAATATAATGGAAGCTTTTTTTGACGAATATATTCTTTCACTTGATGCATAATTCGTTGATATTTAAGTTCTGGCTCTGCTAACGATTCCAAAAGTTGCAGAATTGTTACTGTGATCATGAGAGCATATTGTAAGAAAATTATTATATCATTATTATAGATTATTCAAAAGTTATTAGATTATTATTTTTTATTAATAAAACTTAATATAAAATGGTGGCAAACAATTTAATACCAATTAGGTAAATTGTGTAACCTTTCCCCAGCAACACAAGTGTACATCGTATTACTTTATCACAAATTCCAAAACCATCGAATTCCAGGAAACTGGAGCCAATTAAATTACTTACTCCAATATGCACAAATATTAAATACACTTTCCAATTTGGCTTATTATAAAGTTCTCTGACGATATAATATGCGTCGGAATCCTAAAATTATTATATTATAATCACAAGAGATATTTTAATATGAAATAATTTATAAACTGTTTATCGCGAAAAAACGACTGCAGAAGATACTTGAACATACTTTCATGGGTGCCCCTTGTATATGCATAACGATGTAAGGAAAGACGTAACTTATACAGCTACTCCAGTGAAAAATTAATAATGTTAATATAATGAGCCATATTGTTGTCTCTTGAGTTTGAGAAATACCGAATTTCTATTTAAAAATTATTAAAATTTATTTTGTTTATAAAGTTCAAATCTACGGGATTATTTTTATATATACGATAGAATTACGAATTACTGCATTAATCCGTCGAACATTGCGTCGTACTGTAGGTATGCGAATTATTTTCAAAATAGGTAGAAATTCTACGATAAGCAACGCAGAATTTGAATCCGAACCAGGTGGTAAGATGCGTATTGGATAGAACCACATATATGGGAGCGTGCTGATAAAATCAATGAAGAAATATCCTTTCACATAATGTCTGTATAAATATATAGTTTTCATTTTATACTGAAATATCTTTGAAGGAAGCGCAATCGATGGAAATTGATAAAATTAATTTATACGTTATCACATATGGCAGAATCACACCGTGCAATTAAAGCAGTATCGAGAATAATCTCATGTCTCTCTGAGGAAACAAATCCAGTAATAAAATTAAGAAATATATCGATGATGCAAATGGCATAACTAGGATACACGATATTCCAATATTCGGGACCGCTATTCTTTCCAATTCTGTGGAAGCATATAATATGTGGAGCCATCACGAAAATATATAGAAAAGTGATAGTCATTATCGTATCCCAGTAGAACCTGTGATAACATTTCTTTTACTACATCTAAAAATTTATTAAAAAAAAAAAAAAAAAAGAAATCAAGAAGCTGTTTCTCTTAATTCTTATACCTCAACATACTACAAGGGTGAATCATCCATTGATTAGATGATCTCGAGTGTCTTCTCTTTTCGAAGGCAACAGCTGCCTGGCTGCGAAAGATTAATCGTGTCAAAGGATGTCGAGCGGAGACAAGAACGAGCTTTTGAAGATTCCGCTTCCAACGACTATAGAATTTCGCGTTCGGAGGTAATTTAGGCAAATTACTTCCAGACGTTCTGGGCAAGTCACACAAGTGCGTGCGTAAACTTGCTCGTTTTTTCAAAATGTTCGAGTCTATCGCCATTCTGACACATGCCAACTGATGTCGACGCTTGTGTGACGCTGTGACACAAAATAATGCGATTGCTTTGAGATAAATTCAAGTTTCAGATAAATATTACCATAGAAACACACGTGTAGCGAACACGGTCTTACGTAAGACCATGATAGCGAATGCTTTTAAACCTAACTAAAAATTTGTTATATTTTAGAAAAAAAGATATTCTTTTATGTAAGATGGCTAACATGGAAGAAAAGCTCTCTGATAAGTCGATTGATCTTCGCAAATGCATTTCTAGATTCTGTATTGGTAAATTTAACGATTTACTGTTGTATATGTGTAGAAAAACTAACAATTACATTTTTTAATATTATGAATTATTATTTGTAATATATTTATATATCTTTTATTTTTTCGAAATTATTGTTGTTTCTTATCTGGTATTACACACAAATATCGCAAAATAAAGTTTAATTTTTTTTATAAACGTTATAATATTGTGTTAAATTACAGTACAAAAAAATTTTACAAATATATGCGTTATGATTAATAATATATACATGTACACATAAAGGGAAATATTCAAAGTATTAAAACAAGTAGAAAAACTCTCAGAAATATATTATTTATGCTCTTCTTGTTTTATACTCACAGATGATTCGAATCGGATGATTCTATGCTTCAAAGAAGCATTGATCGTCGTTCTAAAGGATGATTCTATGAATGACATTAAGCAAGTAGGTAGTTATTGTATTCAAGTAGAACCCATTGGCCCTCAAGATCGCGAATTTCTTGTGCATACGCATTCCTTGATAACTATCGATGGTTATTTAAATGAAACAAGACTCATCAGCTCGATGATGGACAATCTACAGTGCCTGGAAGAAAAATATACCGAGTATAGTTCATGGTTACAGCAATTCACATACTAAAATACAAAAGATAGTCCATAAATAATGGCAATGCTCATGTTATTTCGATGGATGTTATTTTGAGCAATATGTAAAGATGTTAACTCGACTATTGATTTATAAGTTTAAATTCTTATCAGTTTATCATTCGCATTCAAAAAGACATATACACCAAAGAATCTCTTTTAATAAAAGTATTTTTTTTTTTTAATATTGGATCGGGATTCGCATCTTTTTATTTAAAAATTTTGTAGATTTTATTTACATATTTTGTAGATATTGTATTTGAAATTTTATTAAGAATATATAATGGCAGTGATATGGCTATTAATACGTTCTATACTATATAGTAATACAAATTGTAAATTTTGTAGACTTTAAATATAAAAAGCTTAAAATATATTAATAAATCTGATCTTTGTCGTAGCTAATTTTTAAAATAATGCTTCTTAACAAAATAACAGACATTTAAATACAAAATAATTTTTTTTTTTTATAAAAGACTACTTTTGGCGATTATAATAAAATTTAAAAAAAATCTATGATACCGTTATTTATATGGATTCAGTTTCGTAAATTCTATATAAGATTTTAATAGAATTTTGTCGTAAAAGCATATATTTAACATATATAATACAGTTATATATATATGTGCATAATGTTATATATAAGCATATATAGTTTTTTTTTTCTTTGTTAGGTTTCTTTACAAGAAAAATGGTCTGTATGAAAAATCATTGTTCTTAGGTCTTGAGGAGGACACATATCACGTCGAGATTGCGCACACTTGTCCTTGTTGCTTATCAATATTAACAGAGAACAAAGACTTGAAACTCTGCCAATATGAAAGTTTAATCAACGAAGGTGCAAACATATTACTAATGCGATATCTCGCTATAACAAATTTCGAAGGCATTTTAAGTTTTCAGAATATTACGATAAGCGGAAGCATAACTACCTGCGATTATGTAAGATAATAATTATATAATATATATTTTTGACAAATTTTTTTTAAATATATATAATTTTTAGGAAATCATGATTACACATAGAAAAACTTGATATGAATTTAAAATTAAGAATTGATAGCTACAACAAAGCTTATTTTATATGTATAATTGTTTATAATATAATATACTTAGAGTTTACATTTTTTTATTGAGCAAAAAGATTCAACTCCAGATTAGTTAAGAGATTTGATAAAAGAAAATATTTCCTAATAGTTCCAAAACATACAGTATAATGTTAAATAGGAAAAAAGAAAGGATAAAAAACTACCGATATGATATATAATGTTATCGATGCAGATCTGTATCGCGTTACAAAATATGGAACTGCATGGTAATCATAAAAAAATATACACTATTGAACGAAGAATCTATAAAAAAGATAGTCTTATACAACGAAGCAAAATTTATTTGACATCACGAGGAAGAATACTTGTGTACGATTGGTTAGATACACCTTATATAGCACAAAAAAATCCATTAATGCAGGATGATACAAATAAAAATATAAACGTACAAATTTTATTCAACTCAAAAGAGTGGTGGATGCAAAATATCGAGACGCTCTCTAAATATTTGGATATGAAAGTAATTCTTATTCGTTTTATTTTCTAAAAGTTAATATTTTATATTATAATAATAAATAGAATTAATAAATTAGAATTATATTAATATGTATTTTCCTTGACTATTTAAGTATATATATATACTTAAATAGTCTTACTCAAACTATTTCTTTTATTTTATTTTATTATTATATATAAAATATTTGCAAAAATATATTTATATTAATTTTTCTCTTTTTCCCTCTCTCTTTCTTTAGTCTTATAATGTAGCTCAATATACAGAGTATCTGATGGATCATCCTGAGATAAAACAGCTAATTGCGGATTACATTCAGATTCTTCTCATTGGTAATAAACTCACATTGAATAAATTTTGTGCATAATTTACTCTCTTTTACAGATTATATTACACTTACTTAATTGTTTATTGTCAATTTTTGATCAGTAAAACCTGTCGACGTCATAGATTTCACGATTCAACATTTCAAAGCATTTGCCAGAGACATAAGAGTTTAAGATATTGTTGATGAGTTGACAAAATAATTTGATACAAATCCGCATCTATCGAGAGACCAATCTGAAATTGTCTGTAACCATTGTGGAATCTGTAATGAATCTGTAAAGTGCAAAATTCACAATTGGAAAAATTATTATCTAAATAAAGAAAATCCCTAAGAAACATTAAAGAAGTCTTTTCCCCAATTGATCAATCAAATACCTTCAGCACTTACATCATCAAGATGAACACATAGCCTGAGTAAAAGATAAATAATAACAATAATAATAAAAAGAATATTTTCTTCAAAGTTTATAAAATTTGGTTGCATAAATCGAGAAAAAAAAGATTTTTATTTTAGATGTTCATTCACACAAAACTATTATTTCTCAATTAAAACCTATTTCTTTTGTAAGTAACTTCAACTTATTTATTATATAAAAATTTGTTTATACATTAGCGTGTGCAAAACATAATCTTAGTCACTCAATGAAATATGACACTTTAATCCACTTTGAACTTTGGATATTGCACATGTCACATAATGAGATGCAATTACTTTTATCATTTTCTGCCAAGCATCATCTCCTGCGAGTTACATATCACACAATTTTCCTATAAAATGAAGAGCATTATGATGATGCATCAATAATAAAACAATATAAATTAATATATAAAGGAAACATTATACATACAACGAATTCAAAGTTGGGCAGACAATCTTCGTGAAAAGAATGCTTACAATAAAATACAACTATATTCCGCAGCTCTAAAAAAAAGATTTAAAAAATGAATTATATATATAATTGTATAATTTATAATATAACTAGCGCTACAAAACACACTTATAATTACCTCTTACAATTATCTTCCTATGGCAAGCTCCGCACATTTGATCATCTAAAAAAAGAAAAACAATAGTTTATCAATCTATTAAATTATCTATTAATGTATTTTCAAGAGAATGCAATCTATTAAAATGTTTAAAATGTTTAATCACATGCACAATTCTTTACTCAAATCAATTTTAGGATTTCTACAGACAGATATATAATTTTTATTCTTTGAGATCAATCATTTTATGAAGTATATGTATTACCATCGACAAATATGCCTTTCTGTTGACAACGAACAAGTCGTTCATGGAGATTGAAATAATCATTAGACAGTATTTTTTTGCAACCTTCTTGCACAGACACTTGCAGATTATAATCACACATCATTTTGACCAATGCTTTTTTCAACCCTGGAATTTCCAAAGTAGGTTCTATCCTTTGTACCATAAGTCGGGGGTCAACGTAGGTGCCAATCTTTTGAAGAAGAAACGTAATTGCCGCTAAAACCCGTGAAATTATTTTTAATGATGGAAATAGGATTTGCAAATATAAAATTTGGTCTATCTGATTCCTTTTTGGAATTCTCGCGCGCGCGCGCATACATACACGACATATGCTTTTTTTAAAATAACAATATGATTCGTACTAGGTTTGTCAAGCGAATAATTAACTAGATCGTTCCATAGTTCCTCGTCATCGTGTTCTTGACAAAACGCAATCGCACTCTCCATATCGTCGAGTTCTCTCGTCATAAGCGCCAAAGCTTCAGAAGTGTTTCCTATCCTGCCCAATAAGTATACCATTTCCGGATAAAACTGACGCTGGCTACAGATATCCAGAGCTTGTTGTATTGGATAATTATCAGAGCGACGTAGAAGCGGCAATAACTTGTCTCTCGAATAATCAGCGTATAATCGCACTAGTAAGCCATGATACTTGCCCTTGGAGTCTTTAGTATCTCTCTTGTCTAAGGCATCTAGATACTAAAAATAAAAAGATTATATAATTAAATACTTAAAAGCCAAAAAAATCCATATCTATTTTAATAAAATTCCAAACAAACAAAAGAATTAAAAAGACTGTGATTATAATACATAGTTAGATTACAATGTGTTAAATATGTTTCTTGAAAATAGATATTTCTCATATGAATAATATAAGTATCATTATGCCATTACCAAGTATAAATAACGATGATTATGCTGCAATTTCTGTACAATGACATCAGACGCTACCCTGTCTTTTTCCAGAAAAAATTGTATGGCACGCTCCGTGTCCAGATCCATCAGACCTTCGATCATATCATATACGGAATTATACAACTGATACTTCTGAATCAGCTGAAAGACGTCTTTGTGACGTAGCTTCAAATACATGGCGAGAGCTTTATCATATTTGCCATCATGAATGTATAAAATAGCTAATGCTTCCAATAATACATTCTGTCGCTGATTGTGGACTAGTAAGTGCTCCAATACGCCATTAACTACCGCCGCCACTGTGTATAAGCTTGGAGACCATTCTTTGACTAACTGCAAGAAACCATCGGGATCCATTTTTAGATACTCATACAGCACCATCTCATACACTAGTGGATCAAGGGTGACATCACCTCGAGGTAAATATGACGAAATAGAACGTAATTGATGCATTCTGGCGAATTTGTAAACCTGTCTCAGAGAAATTTAAATCATACTAAAGCGAAAAATTTTGCAAATACAATTGCAAATTATTTGCAACATGGATAATTATAACCATTGTACATATATGACACTAAACACAATTCTTACCTCTTCCTCCCACAATTTTTTATTTCGTCCTAGAATCTTGAGACAAAGTTTTCCAGCCTCATCGTATTTCTCGTATGCTAACAAATGATCCAAATAAATTCGTCCCACGTCTAATACAGTGTGCCTCTTGCAATCCTTGCCATTATTCGTTGTTACTGCTTCCAAAGCTTGCTCAAATTTCCCATGGCTCAACAACCACTCGATTCTGTCATCTGTATCGTATAAACTGGCTACCACAATGTCCTTTGGACTTACAATAAAAAACCTATAAAAAATTTTCGTGAGAAACACAGGCAGCATTAAGATAAGAAAACATAATAAATTTAAAAAATTTTCCTAAATTCCTAAAAATGAGACAATATTTCTGTATTCAAAGCTATTTTGCTTTCTTATTTTAAATATCATCATAAAAATTTATAATTTACATAATTTTATATTAACATTTTATTTTAAATATATCATTATCTGTAACAATTGAAAAAATCGTTCCACAAATTGAACAACAAAACTGTAATTAAAAATAAATCTTAGTGGTATTGGTATACCATATATGTATATTAAATTAATTTTATTATCTCTTACCTGTTTTCCTCCTTCAAACAATCCAAATGGTAATCATTACAGCTATACTCTTTGTAGCCACGTAGAGTAAGTGAATTTGCACAAAGCACTGAAAAATCTTGGTATTTTGGTTCAACCACGTGCAGAGTTGGACGTTGATTTTTTCCATCTTCGTCTAGCTCTTTGAGGCACCCCAATAATACCAATTGATTTTTTAATGGTGCTATACCCGATATATAAAAATCTACTTGAAACGTTGATACTGAAAAATAAAATAAAATTTATTAAATAAATAATTACTATACTACATTCAGAATACTTTATGATTCAAATTGAACCATACATTGATTCTTTAACATTTGTGTATTGAATATAGAAGAAGAACAAGGTTTTTTATTAGTTACCTGGATCTACCACAAACTCGGGTAAATCTCGGTTCACCATCTCCTGCATAGTACGTTTCCTAATATGACAAATGCGTACAATGTCCACCCATCCAATCAACAATGTCTTGCTGTCTGACCACTGTAGATTGCATCTATAGTGCTCTGGCAATGTACTATGTGAGATAACATACAGACATATGAAACATATGTAACATGTAGTACAAAGGTAATTCTGAGTGAATTCAAAAATTTAAATAATTTATAATCGATTCTTTTAAAGAAAATACATGATAAATCCTTTCCACAAAGTTTTCTTTTATTCACAATTTTTTTAGCATTAAAACTTTTTTGAGATTTTGCAATATGCAAAATGTTATAACTACTAATTTTTTATCAATACTTACTCTGGGGTACGGGACCATTTGATGAGTCCCAATGAACATCTAGCATCAAGATCATAGACTCTCACACCAGTATCAGAGGCCCATGCCACAAAGCGACCAGACCATGCTACGGATTTGACTCCACCTTCTGCTTCACAGAGTACTGTTGGCTTCATCCTGGCCAAAAAAATCTTCTCATAGAGCACCAATTTGTCATCACCTATGAATTGTAAACATACTTATTATGTATAATTACAAACATTATTATTTTAAAGATTAATTCTATTTAATTCTAAAAATGATAAACAAATATACAGTTAAACACCTGTAATAAATCTTCTGCCACTGCCACTTTTATAATAATTTGGATCAATTGCTATGCTCTTAACTAGTCTGCCCATGCTCATATTGTGATTGTCCTCTGTACTATATAATCCATAAATGAAAACTTTTCCATCATCGCTGCAAGAAGCGATGAAGTCTCCATTATGATCTATGGAGATCTGATTAACTGCTACAGTATGTGCCTGTAATGTTTTGGATTTTACATTATTACCCTGATGATCTAAAAGATGGATCATTCCCCAATGTGATCCCAGACAGAGAAACTAAGAAGAGAAAAAGATAAGATTAATAAATATGTCAAAAAACTTCTTATATTTTTCTTTATATTTCTATCTTTTATTTACTTAAACCTCTCAAAATTGACAAAATTAAATACTTCATTATTTAAATATTTTAAATACTTTAAAATTAAAATTCTAATTATATATATTCTTATAAACTCTCACCTTTGGATGCACAGCAATACAACTAGCAGCATCATTCTGCAGAATATGTTCCAAATCATTACGTATTCGTACATATTTCAATCTGGGTTCTATTTCATCCATTTCTGAAGAATCTGAATCTTCCGGATTATTCTGCTCCTCCTATAAATTAGCTTTTCATAACTATCAATTACATTCTATATGTATGTGTTTATTTACCAGTACTTTTTACATTAGAAAACAAAACTAGATATATAACAACTTTAATATCTATAAAATCTAAACAATTAATTATAATTAAAAAAGAGAGAATTTTAATAAATTTAACAATTTAGATAATTAACAGATAATAAAAAACATAATATAAACAAAAAAATGCAAGAAAAATGCTTAATAATTGTACAATAAAATCTGTATTGAGAACATTGTATGGTAATAGAGAAAAGAATTAATAAATCGTGACAATACTTTACTTTGCTAGATGTGGATTCCATCGTTGTTTTTGAATCTTTGTCGATGCAATATTTTTACAATATACAATACGAGTCGAATGTCGAGACGAACTGTCAAAATTATTTCAAAGTTTGATGAGAGAGATAGAGGTAACAGATAAAGGCGAGGGTGAGCTCACAATAATAGAACTCAAGTTAGGTTAAATAAGTTCCATAGCACATTTCTCGTAAAGAGAGCAAAAGAAGAACGTATGCCATAAATAAACTTCATTTATAATTCATAAGTATATAAAACTTTGTCATAAGATACATTATATGTACATATTTTTGCATTTACGTACTTCAATTTTCATTACGCACGTAATTTTAGCGTATATTTTCTCTCTTTCTCTCTCTTTTCCCCTTCCTCTCGCTAATCTCCCTATCAAACGATCGCCCAATTTCTATTAGGCCCGTCTCACACTACGTATTGAAGATTGAAATTTGACCAACCAGGGCAAAGAAATTTTAGTTCCTTTTGTTCTGATTGGTCAACTGATACGGGCTTTACGCGAGCAGTCTATCCTTTCTATAAGTTTATGGCTGACTCCCACTACTCGTCACATGATCATTTTAATTCGCGTTCATCCGGGAAGAAAATCAGATGGCGCTGAAAATCGTTTCCACATTTCTGCGCATTTCCGAGAGGAGATAGCCGCCCTTTCTTTGACAATATACATAGAAAAGTGAGAAAAAGAAAATCATGTTTAGTAAATTCATACAATAATAATACAACAGGAATATTCGCAACAATTGAGATTAAAATACAATTGCGCATCAATTTTTTGAAGACTATATATACATATATATTTCGTCACTTAAAAGAAAAAAAAAAAACTGCGTCATTGCATCTAATCTCAATTGTGTAAAAATATATATAAGATAGTGAATGTGAAATTGTTACACAAGTTATAGCATGAATGTGTCAAAATTTTTTTAATAATATAATATGAATAAGAAATATTCTTCATTCTCGACAAAAAGATTATTTTTTTTACACAATCTTTTAAAATAACATTATTATTATTAGTTGAACATATGCAGAGTTATATTACTTTTGAGTATTTCGACATATCTCAAATTTAAAATCGTAAAATATAATCTATTTAGACATGAGATGTAAGAATGTAAATTTGTAAATATATAAATATAATATAGATATTCCAGATAAAAACAATAATCTAAACAGAATTTAAAGAATTTAAAAATTAAATTTTGTGGTATTATGTAATTTACTTATTTTACATAATAATTATTAACAGTAAACAAGAAAATAAAAAAAATGCAGCGTCTAAGAATTCAAGTTGTTCGTAATGTCTTGGGTACCAAGACGTATACCACTGTACCTGCACAGGAGCAAGTGGTATCTGCCATGTTTAAAGTTCAAGATCCCAAAGATTTTGATGAACGTGTTAAGAACTCCAAAGTACCTGTCATTGTGGACTTTTTTGCAACGTAAGCATTATATAATATTGTAATATTAATTATTTATTAAATTATTGCACATTCTTATTTAGTTGCAAAGAATTCATAAAAATATAATAATTTTTAGTTGTGAACATCAACATTTATATTAAAAACAAAAATCGAACTAAAGAATAATTATTTATTAATTATGCTTTCTTGCTACTCTAGTCAAATCAAGCTTCTAATATATAATTAAATTGTAATTTGTATTGTTTCTTCAGATGGTGTAATCCATGTCGTATGTTGACTCCGAGAATAGAAACAGTTGTTGCTGAAAAGCAAGGGAAGATATTATTAGCCAAAGTTGATATTGATGAGAACACAGATCTTGCTCTTGATTACCATGTAAGTGTTTTTACAATGACATGATAAGTTTTTTGAATGTGAATCACTCGTGTTTGATAATACGGATTAGTAAAATATGTCGAAAACTTGTTTGATATCTAATGATAATTCAATATAACGTCAATAAGGAACTAGGAGGCTTAAAAAAACAATGCACACATTTGAATTGTTCATTTAATTATATACAAATTTCCAGGTTGGATCTGTACCTGTACTTATCGCGATGAAGGATGGAAAGGTCCTAGAAAGAATAGTTGGTCTTCAAGATACTGATAAACTTAGACAATTTGTTAACAAGTATGCAGAGTAATGTAGCTAAAAATTATGTAAATTACTTTTAAGATGGTAGCAGTTTGTTAATTCTTGTACAGAGAATTTGTATGTGATGTGCTTCAAATTTTGCAATTATATTTATAGTGAATTTTTTTTAATTGTTGAGTAAATAATATTATATGAACAGATGTATCTTTCAATTCGTCTGCAAATTTACAAGATTTCAATTAGTAAAATAATATAGATTGCAATTTTTAAATATACACATTCTTTTATATAATACATTATTAAATAAATTTAATCCAATTCAACAAATTATACCAAGTATATATCTAAGTTATGTGTGTATGTATGACTCCAGATTAGTTAATTTTTAATGTCCAAGTTAGCCACAGAATATCATTAACAATAAAAACAAATCTTTTTCTTGCAAAGATCTTTCATTTTTTTCATATTTTATCCAAATTTTATATATTAATAGGCTTAAATATTGTTTTTTAACGCTCTTTTATTAATAAAATTTCTTCACACTTAAAACTATTTATCAATTGGTAAAGTTTGCAAAAGTTCCCTTGCTCGCTTGTAAGCAATTGACTCTGTAATTTCGTTTTTGATCTCTTCTTGATCATCTTTCTTTTCCTCAGCTTTTCTTATAATGTCCATTCCCTTTCGTAATAATACTTCACGTGCCATGCCTTTGCAACCTTCAAAGTATTCAAGAACAAGTGGAAAAATCGCATCAGGAATGGAGTTTTCATCCAACAAATTATCCATTAACCAAATCTGTTTAAGCTTCTCGAATTTCCATTCGCTTCTAGAATGTTTCCACTGCAAAAATGTAATATCAAAAATTTTGTAAATAAACCGCTAAAATGCTTATAGTTATTTATATATACAAGAAAGAATATGCTTGCGCGCATTTATCTTATATTTATATAAAGTATTAAAAAATCCATCTTTAAAGAATTTTAAGAATCAAGAAATTTAACAAACGATTCTAACAACTTACCATAGATACATAATTCAATGCCTTCTGCATGGCAATTATTCTACTACTTTCCTTTTTCTGAACAGCCGCTTGGATAACTTTTTCCCTTTTCAACTGCCTTTTGGATGGCTTCTTTGGAGTTTCTTCATTCTCATTGGTAGATTCTTTTTTTGGGATAATCATATCAGCAGGGACATTGATACTAAAAAAAATTATTTTGTTAAATTTATCAATCATTGTCCGTTACATTTTTTTGTATCACTATTTTTTATATTAATTATTTAAAATTAATCTTTTATTGTATACAGAATATTTAAAAAACGGCTTATAATTTAATACAGTTGCTACTGAAGTATTTTGTGATAAAAATTAATTTAAAATTATAATTCTTTGATGTATATACAAACCATCAACATATAGAATGGACTATTGATGGCAGTGGAAGGGGTAACTGCCATCAGCAGTCCATTCTATATGTCGATGATACAAATACAATGATAAAATTTAGAAACTTCTTACCTAACTTGTTTCAATTGCTTTTCTTTTAATGAATCCTCAATTTCTTGCACTTTTAATTTTTTATTTCTCTTTTTTACTTGTTTCTTTTGTGCAACATTTTCCTGAAATGCTTTGTCTTTTTTGTAGTAATTATTCATATCATCATCTATGAAAAATTTATTGTGTATAATATTATTATATGTTACATATTATTGTGTTATTTCTGAAACAGATGGTCAAACTTTATGGACATAATCTGGTCATAGTAAAAATAAAAGAAGCGTTATTTGGGAGAGAATGGGACTGAAAATCTTCCGAGTTATAACTACTTTTTGTTTACAAAGTTTGACTATCTATTTTAGAAACATTTTATATTTTGCATGATACATATAATAAAAATTGAAATAATCAATATAATATCAATTCACAAGCAAAATCAATTTAAATAAATAAATAAATCAGGTCGCTAAAAACTCACCGTCAATCTCCTCTTTCTTTACACTAAATTCTACTTTTATAGCATTTTCGGTGTCCATGTTATAATAAATTGATATTATTTAACTTGTGCTAATACACGTCATTAATCATATCATAAAATACATCGTAATATAAATCTGTTATAAAATAATGTGGCTAAAAATCATGGGGATCAAACACAATTAACCTAAAATATACTTTATTATGTATATAAGTATATACCATGCGGTTGTTCGTCAGTTCGTTACTGCCATCACCCATCACCACCAATCACTTCTTCTTCTTCTTCTTCTTCTTCTTGTGAATGGCACCGGGCCTGAGATACACAGGCCCACACGGCCAAGTCGATGAATATAAATAGCGCTAATGTTGTAGAGATCAAGTTGTGGGTTAGTATCAGAAATTTTATTTAGATGAGAGTTACTGATAGGATGCTACACAAAGAATTCCTCTTTAGAAGGTGTAAGTATTCGGATTAAAATTTTTATAATACTTTTTATAATAAATTATAATTTTTTAATAACCCTTTTACTTTTTTACTTTAGACAACAGATAGAAGATTGTATAAGAACGGCGCGAGAATCGCTCTATGATTTATTGACGAAGACGAGGACTATGCTCGCGCAGGCGCAAAGCGTTCACAGCGCGTTGCGCGACGCTCGCCGACGCGACGTCGCGCGAGCCCCCGAGCGATTCTTCTTCTTCTTCTTGTGAATGGCACCGGGCCTGAGATACACAGGCCCACACGGCCAAGTCGATGAATATAAATAGCGCTAATGTTGTAGAAATCAAGTTGTGGGTTAGTATCAGAAATTTTATTTAGATGAGAGTTACTGATAGGATGCTACACAAAGAATTCCTCTTTAGAAGGAGAATAGAATTCAAAAATAAGGTCCAAATTACACACGCGTAACGTGTTTGTGAACACGACAATACTCGACCAAGGCCGCAACGGAAGTGACCACCAATCGCTGCAAAAAATTGTGATTAAGATTAGGTTAGGTTAGATTACATATGTGCTAACAGCTGATTGGAATCAAGAATGTGCTTGAAAATACATTTGGTTACTGTTGTCAGCTGATGGGAAAAGCATGTGACTTATTGCTTATTGTTAACAATTAATTAACTAGCTACTTAATAATTAATTAGAAATATCTATATTTGTCATATCTATACGCTAGTTAAATTATTATAACAATGCGTTAAAATATTCAGATGATCGTATGTAGAGAATACAAAATGATAAACAATACGTTAGTTTTTTTTCCACAAGGACTGTGTGACAAACAATCTGGTTATGTGCTTGGCAAAGTGATATATGATACACATAGCGACTTGAAAAAATTTTATATTATTAGTTTATCTAAAGTAGACTCTTCAGAATTAACTAAATGTACACTAGACACCATTGGATATTACTCTAATATGAACAATGTAGCCAAAGAATTTTTGGACCATAAGCATTCAGATTGGATACACATTACAACAAGGTGTTCCGAGAATAAACAGGACGAGTATTATCTGACAAATATCGTTCTTAACAATAAGAGAATAGATCTATCAACAATATGTGCAACAATTATTTTGTATGATCAGCGAGCGTTACAAGAAACAGAGTTATTTGAGAGCAAAGCTGCATCAGGCGATCATTTTTATGAACTCGCAAAGCTAATACAAAGTATGAAAGATGAACTACGGATCAAATCTAAATTTGTTTACATTTGGGAAACTTTGTTGACTTATCACATACTCTTCTACTTGTATCCTGTTTTGTGGTTGTCCAAAATAACAGAAACATTTTTGCCAATTTTAAAGTACTCGTCTCTTGGCTTGCATGTCTATAGCTGGTTGGAAAATTTTAAGTGGATGCTAATCACAATTTTACATGATAAGAATTTTAAGCTGAAAACAGGAAATTATGCATTGGCAATTGTAATAGATATAGCACTGGGAATCTTTGTATTACGATTATTGCAATATTACATTGAGGATCAGCCATCACAGCTGCTTCTAAACAATGCAGAGGTAAATTAAGATACACCTGATAGATGCACTCTAAAAATGTGTATGCAAACAAAATAATTTATATTATTATATAAAATTGAGTTACTTATTTTTAATTCTATTTATTTCCATTTTCGCCACACAGTTTTAATAATTAGAATGTTTATTTTATACAGAAAGTTGTAGAGACTCTAAAGGATCTAATTAATTGGTTAATGGGTGTACCAGCTGGCTTGAAGCTTAATCATGCTTTAAATAATAGCATGGGCAAGTTTTTCTTGTATCACATACAGCTCTGGTGGACCTTTCTGACATTTTTAAAGCCGCTTCTAGATCTTGCATTCAAAGTATTGCTTTTATTTGGAAGGTTGGGCGTCACATTTCAAATATCTATCATCGCGGATCTGCTAGCTCTCGTCAGTTTTCATACATACTGTATCTATGTTTATGCAGCAAGGTGTATACATTTTTTAAATATTTAATATGTTACAATTTAATAAAATTCATGATTTTTCACCTGAAATAATTTAAGAGCCAAATTTATTACAGGCTGTTCAATATACAGTTGAGAGGAATTACGGCTCTCTTCAGACTTTTTCTCGGAAAAAAGAAAAATCCTTTACGTGAAAGGGTAGACTCGTGTCAGTATCAAACAGATCAACTGTTTGTTGGGACACTGTCATTTACCATTCTTTTATTCCTAATGCCAACAACATGGATATATTACACTGTATTTACACTGGTAAGATAATGTTTGTTTCGATTTTAACTTTTTTAACTCATCATTCAAAGTAATCACGATATTATTTATATGATTATAGCTCAGGCTCGTATTGATCGGGTTTAGCGGTTTTTTGACCAGATTGAAATTTTATCTACAAATTATGCCTGTTTATACTTTCTGTATGTGGTTATTACAATCTTACAGCACATGTAGTAAGTATCACAGTGGTACTAGTAATACCATGTGTTGCATTGTGTTAAGGGGATAATAATTCCTTGCCACCTAACACGTTATGAAGGGGATATTATAAACAATAATAATAATTCCCCATAGGCATTGTTGATATCAGATTGCATTCTCACTGCACGGAAGAATTAACAATATTATCAATGACTATGGTTGTTGCATCTTGGAGACTTACATGGAAAAAGTGCATGGCAGACACAATTATTTGCCATCCATCCATTAAATGGTGTACAATATTTAATAATATTATTTGGGGTCAATTGTTATAAAATTAATTATACAAAATACATTAATTTTAAATATATATAGATATATAATGTATATATAAGACACATCTTTAAAACAAGTTTTTTCTAACATTTTGTACAGAAAATATATTAATATTAAAATTATTATATATAATAAAAGTAATTGACATCTACTCTATTGTATCTGTTATGGAAAAAAAAATAAATATTTATTATATTATGAAGAACAAATAACTATATTTTATTACATAACAAGGATAATAATATTACATAAAACAAGCTAAGGTAATACAGTTAAATAGAAGTATCCTATTATGATTTAGCCTTTTTTTCTGCTAATCTGTTGTTAGATTGTTTTAGTGAATCTCCCAACTCATTGTCGAGCATTAAATCAATGTCATTTTCTTCTCTTAAGATACAAAAATATATTAGAAAAATAGAGAAGCTGAATATTATACTATATGGTTGATACCATGGTACTTCATCTCCATATGGGTCACGATACTCGTCTACTCTCATAGTGGCAGCCTTTGAAGTAGAATACTTAAGAGGTTGCTCGGTCCTGTCGTCGCTATCAATTTCCGACAATCTGCATTCATCTTTAGAAGATACCATGCTTTGTTTACTTCTAATATTAAATGCTATTTGTGGTAAGTTGTTTCTGCAATATAAAAGTGAATATATCAGATCCTTGTAGCAAATTATTTAACAATATAAATTTCAATTCTTTATCTTAATAATATTTTATAGTTTGCTTCAATTTTTATTTTTTTATAAAACAATAATATTGAATTTGTCCTGAAATTTTTAAGAAATTGCATAACCTTATCTAAACAAATATATACATGTATATACTCGAAATAGAATATAATAAAATTAAAACAATCTTTCACTTTTAATTACCTTTTAAGCAATATATTTTTATCTCGTAGTAAAAGAAAGAGAACATTTTTAATATTTACATTTTTCATTATTATGCCTAACATTTTGCATCATACAATAGCCGCACACATCACACATGGGCATACGAAGAGAGGGGTGGGGGAAGATTTATGATAAGGGAAGGTACCAGGCACCAACAATTTCAGGGTTGCGCTCCAAAATTTACTCCTTGGAGTAGAGTAGCGTTTGATTGACCAATCAGGACAAAGGAATTTTTGTCCAGATTTTTTCTTTATTCTGATTGGTCAATCGCACGCTACTCTGTCCAAAGAGTAAATTTTGGAACGTAACCCAAGAATGCTTAAAGTACATATTTTGTTGTGGATAGGTCTTGACGCGCATGTATTGACATAACGTTGGACGCTCTCGTTAATCAGGTTCGCAGGTCGAATAGGCGACGCATGCGCGAGAACGTACAACGCTAGCGCACTGCCACAGGCACGCTCAATAAACGGCGCTAGTGTTTGTCAAGTGTCATAGCCGTTCCCATCGGCCGATAGTGCTGCAAGACTTAAATCGGTGATTTAATTAAGAATAACGTACCTCTTTTTTTAGTAAAATTGTGAAACTTTAAGCAATAATGACCGACAAAAAAGGTAACTATATGTCATAATCATGCGTTACTGTTCGTTGCGTGTGTAATGTATACTGAGACAGTGTGAGGGAAATGTACAGACACATATGCATATCAACGCGCGTTCACATACACGTATACATGACGCATACATGCGTTTGCGCGCACACACATACGACACATGCAACATAAAACGAATACAAGTAGTCGTTGAGATAAGCCGTATACTTCGCCACTTGTCATTCGACGGGACGCTGACGCCAACGCGACTCCTGGTGCAAACGGTCCACAGCGCGGCCTGATATCGCTTGACCTTAGTAAATCGAAGCCCAGGCGCCGGCATGGATCGTTCCAGTGCCTAGCCCGAGTTGACAGAACAAATCAATACCGCACATCGCGCTGGGCATACAAAATGGCCTCCGGAGACTTGTTCATTCTCTTTCTTCCAAGAGAGAGAGAGAGAGCGACAGAGAGAGAGAGAATATTATTTCGTAGTTATACAAGGTTTTTTTCGTCAGGTTCAACTCTTTCCAAATCCTCATCTCTACTAGATCTCTGAAACCTCAAATTCCAAGCTTCTCAAGGTATATTTTCATGGTTTCACAATCTTGGATTCGCGAATTCTTGATTTTCTTTGTATTCACGAAATTTGTCTACATTTATGTTTTTAAGCTTAAATTTCCAATTTTTTTTGTACTGTTTTTGAGGTATCTAAATTTTTAGATTGCCAATTGTTAGGCATTCTTAAATTTTTGGAATGCCAATTTCTTGCAATTTTAATCGTTATCTTTTTAAATATTTGAACTGTAATTTTAATTTTTAGTTGAATTATTAACTTGATTTTCTTTAATAATTTATTTTTTATTCTTGAATTCTTGGGCTAACTCTTTAAATTATAACTTTTAATTTTTTTAGATATTTAAAATTTTTATCTAAAAATTTTTCAGAGACAAGATGTTATTTTTGTGGGACATGTAAAATATTTTAGTTTAATTTTGTGAGGTAAAATTTGAAAAATCAAACTGTTTTGAGTATAAGAAAAACCTATCAAATTTTATTAGCATATGGAACAAAAATTATATCAAGCAATTTGATAATCGAATTTTATATTCAATAAAAGTAAAAGAGAAAAAAGAAAACGCCGGTGGCCAAAATTGAATTATTAAAAGATGCTTTATACAATTTTATATTGTATACTAATAAAATTGACAGGTTTTTCTCTATTCAAAAGTTTGATTTTTTCAATATTCCATTTGTTCTTAAATATGTAAAACAGCCGAATAATTTCAGCAACTTCCTTCAATTGTCATCCTCTGTACACACATGCATATATATTTACATAAGTACAATATATAGGGTGTGTCGTAAATCGTATATACAAGCGAAATGAAGATGGTTTCTTATGCAAATGCAGATTGAAAACGTAGAATAAAGTTTTTTCATTCAAGGCTTTATTTTCGATAAAATCGCCTTTGAAGTTTCCTCGAGTAGATGTACACGTATTGACTAATAAACAGAATCGGCTGAATGGATTTTGCTACACGCAAGTATTTCTGTTCGGATTTGTAAACGATGTCATGACGTAAATAATGTTACACTCTGTCTGTGCTATCATTTTCATTACTTCTTATTTAAGGTAATAAAGACATCGCATGAAAAAAATAATTCATGCTATAAATAATAAAAATTGTTTAAAATTACAATTACAAGACAAAATATATAGGCGTTCAAAAATGTGAAAATTCGAAACGCATTTAATTCACACTTCTTTAATTCGCCGTGTAATACTTTGTGTGATAAAAAGGACGACATTTTTATTAATTTATAATTTAATGAAATGAATGCACTACTGAATTTGTTGCATTATTTTAACCCATTATCAAGTTACGATATCGTTTATAAATACGACCAGAAATAGTTATGTGTCACAAGATTCATTGAGCCTCGACGGATCTTCAAAATTGATTTTATATCGAAAATGAAGTTTTGTTTAAAAATATTTCATCCTACATTTTCGATTTTTGTTTTTCTAGTAGCTATGTATGCATATGTGCGTATATCATATGTATGATGTTATTACGTGCGTGCGCATATTATGTACAGAATATCCTCATATCATGATCACACACATTCTAAATATTTTCGTTAATAATTATATAAAAATATGTCTAAAAAAGTAATATGTTTCTCCAGAAAGTACATGATTAACGAGAAATATTTTTTTCAGTTTACAGTTTTTGCGATTTCAAGATTATTAAAATTATTTTATATAATTTATCGACATATTATCGACAATATTATAGCATTGAAGCGAATTCAACTTGCTACAACATGATCTTTAGACGATTTTGAATACAAAGAATGTTTGTTTAAATCAATTTTAATACATTATGAGAAAGAAAATGTTCAAGAATAGTTACAATATTTTGTATATACTGGCTGAGGGTCAAAAATCGTAGCACAACCAAAATAAAAATTTTTTAAAGAGTAAATTTTAAAACGTGTAGAATAAAATTTCTTATACTGTAGTTTTTGTACATGTAACATAAGATTGTTAAAAATCAAGCTTAAAAAGGTGTAAATATGTTATTAATTTCCCCATTTTTAAAGTTAATTTTTTAAAAAAACAAAACTTTATACGAATTTAAAAAAAAATCTTTTTTTCTTATTTTTACACAAGAAATTACTTCTGTTTTAGTTGTGCTATGATCTCCGATTAACCCTGTGTGTGTGTGTGTGTGCATCTGCGTATGTTATATAATTATGAAATTAGACATTGTCAAGTATTAAATTGTGTATTTTTTCGCAAATAACACATCTATGAGAACACGTCGTGAAAATATGAATTCTAAACTCGGTGATTTTCAACAAAGATTCTAAGAATACAAACTCATTTTTATTTTTATTTATTTATTTTTTTTTTTTGGTTCTTGTTAGTGTGATATTGATATATTGGAGCTCCGGAGGTCATCTCTTGATATTATTCAGTGGTATTTTTGCAGATGCAGCGGCTGGTTTTTGCAAAAGTAAGAATGTACAAACATCACAGAGAGAGAGAGAGAGAGAGAGAGCGTGTATGATTAAAAAAACTCATAGAATTTAAGACAAAGTTTCCTAAATAGTTTCGTTCGATAATAATCGGACAGACACTGAGTTCGAAGCGATCGAGTCCACTTGTAAGCATTTGTTCATTTGCTCAAGCCGTTCCAGGTATCTCGGATTCGTTTTTGTTCCTCCTGCATGATGGAACGGAGATCTGTAACATTCCTGGAATAGCTTTGGCAGAAATCATTTTCGCACAAGCGTCGTAAAAATACATAGTAACTTCGACGGTGCGACATTTCATTATCAGGTCTGGTCTGTTATCCCTAAGCAGGTGCTACGCTCCTATAGAGAGCACAGTAGAAATATATTATAAGGATACATAAAGCTTAATCTAAGTAAGTGGAGAGCTGATGGCCCTCCTTATGATAATAATATTATTAGTAATGTGAAGACACGGCGGCGGGCGTATACTGCTGCGAGAGTCTGTGCTACCATTTATATGTGTATGGCGGTGTAGCAGTTGAGCGCGGAAGGATAGCGCCTACAGTTTGGCTGTCAATATGTTTGCAGCGGACCATTACAAAGACGATTTGATCCCAGTCAGTAGGTGGAGCTCTGGAGATCGGCGCAGCCTAAGCCACGTATCTAACCTCACCTTACTCTATATATTACCTTAACTCACTACGTGTTTATACCAACATATATTACGTACACACACAACACACACACATACATATATGCGTGTGTGTATATTATATATATATATATATATATATATATATATATATATATATATATATATATATATATATATATATATATATATATATATATATATATATATATATATATATATATATATATATATATATATATATATATATATATATATATATATATATATATATATATATATATATATATATATATAATATACACACACGCATATATGTATGTGTGTGTGTTGTGTGTGTACGTAATATATGTTGGTATAAACACGTAGTGAGTTAAGGTAATATATAGAGTAAGGTGAGGTTAGATACGTGGCTTAGGCTGCGCCGATCTCCAGAGCTCCACCTACTGACTGGGATCAAATCGTCTTTGTAATGGTCCGCTGCAAACATATTGACAGCCAAACTGTAGGCGCTATCCTTCCGCGCTCAACTGCTACACCGCCATACACATATAAATGGTAGCACAGACTCTCGCAGCAGTATACGCCCGCCGCCGTGTCTTCACATTACTAATAATATTATTATCATAAGGATATATATATACATACATACACATATGTATGTATATATTACCTGTTATATATACGTTGAGGCTAACGCAAAGAAATCGATTGCTTCTGTCATTTGCACCATGCATTCCTTTGTATTGTAATAAGGACAAGATATCGTTAAAAATTCTGAACACATGATAACATCTCGCGTCAAGCATGATATAATTTCTTAATGATAACAAGATCAGGCAATAGAATCAGAATACTAACAATTAAGTGAGAAAACTGGCAAATAAGAGCCAAGCCGCGGATATTGGTGCGCGAATGTATTGTTAAATTTTAGCAATAAATGTGTAATTTATCGATTTTAATTTAAAATTTGACTGCAACGACAAATATTGTGTATGTCAAGTTTTAAAACTCCAATGTAATATTTATATATTTATATCCATGTTAAAGATGGACCAGAAAGCGGTCCGAAACGTACATTTTTAATACACATTTATATATATAATATTACTAAAATTTAACAATACATTCGCGCACCAATACCCGTGCTTTGGCTCTTATTTGCCAGTTCTCCCACTTAATTGATATAATTTTTTGATATAAATGCTATAGCACATTCTTTAGAAGATGGATAGCTTTTTAAACAATAATTTGGAAGTATAATATAATAATTTTTTTTTTAGATGCAAGTGATATTGTGTAGCAAAGATATGAATGACACGTGCAATTAATGCCATTCGGAT